GAATTTCATAATCATAATCTCACAACTCACAAAGTCCTAAATAAAAATCAGTTCGGATTTAGAAAAGGGTGCTCGAATAAATAAAATTTCAAAAAGTATTGGTATTATGTAGAAAACTAGATATATGTTGGATAAAAACTGTTTAAAATCCATTTACTTTTCATTCATAGCTATATTAGTTATTGCAAAATTTCATGTGCAAGCACTTATCCGTCAAGACTAACGTGTATCTTAAAAAAACAAAAACAAGCAAGCTGTCTTATATTAAATGCTAATAAATACACAAGTGCCAATCCACTGCTTAGAAAGCTTGGAGTGCTGAATGTTTACCAATTAAATATTTATAATATTCTCTTATTCATGTTTAGATTAAATTTTTTTTTGTTTGTTTACATTTGACGTAATATAAATAAATTAAATATTTTTCAAATACAAACAAGGCTTCTAAAAGACGATCACAATGATCTTATTGTCAGAAGCCTTTTACCAAAGAGAGAACGTAACATATTATAAAAACGCCTTTTTACAATAAAAGTACATAAAGAATCATATAAAAACAATAAATCGTCTTTACATAAATGAAAATAAATTGTAAACAAGTATAAAACAAAACTTGAACATACATGACAATAAAGTTTATTATCATTTTGTTTTTTATCACAAGATAAATTAAAAATTTTCTAAGATATTTTCAATAGAAAGAATATGGTCTTTAATTTATTTTTAAAAACAGGATAATTTAGGGGTAAGTCGAAGTTAGGTAAAATAATTTTGTTCCAGAGATGAGCTGCACCATAAGTGATACAAAATTGATTGAATTTTGTTCGACAGAATGGTTCATTTAAATTATTATTATTCCTCGTGTTAAACTTGCTTAATGGTATCAAAATAAAAAGATCTTTAAAAATTAAAGGAGATAAATCATGCTTCCACATATAGGCAAAAGATAAATTTTTATATACGTTTAGTTTATAGATTATCTAGGATTTTCATTTGATCAAAAAATATCGAGGAATGTGCGAACCGATCCGCAGAATTAATTAAACGGATCGCATGTTTCTGACGGCGATAGAGACATTATAACTTGCTTTGATCAGTGCTACCCCAGGCAATAACTCCATAACTTATATAACTGTGGATTAAAGAGTAATAAAGTTTAGTTAAATTATTTTTATCTAAATGAGTACGCGTCTGATATAAAATTCCAATACTTTTTGAAACTTTCGAGAAAACATAGTTAATATGATGTTTTCATGTAATGTTCTCGTCAATCAAAACCCCCTGGTATTTAGTTACAGAATCTCTTTTAATTTCAATATAGTCAATAAAATTTTTTGGTAGATTTGAAGGTAGAAAACGATTTTTGGAGAGCGGGTGGAAAAAAATCCATTTTGTTTTAATTATATTTAATATTAATTTGTTACTTTTAAACCATTTAGATATGTTTTGAAGTTCTTTGAAGTTCTTTGTTCATCATGGAGAAAAGTAAATGTCACTGTTAGAGAGAAATAAGTTTGTGTCATCAGCAAACATAATACTTAGAAGATTTGATGCTTTATGCAAGTCGTTGATATATATTAAAAAACAAAAGAGGGCCCAAGATGGAACCTTGCGGAACACCACAGGAAACATTTAAAAACTGTTTATGATTAAGTTCATTACAAGAAACTAATTGTTTTTTGTTCGATAAATAACTTTGAAACCATTTAATTACTATTTCATTTATTCCGTAAAAGTTTATAAAGCTAAATATCATGATCGACAGTATCAAATGCTTTTGAAAGATCGATAAAAATTCCTAATGTAAATTGAGATTTTTCAAAAGAATAGGAAATTTCACGCACCAACTGAATAATTGCATGCTCAGTTGAGTTAATCTTTTTAAAGCCAAACTGATTTTTGTATAATAAATTATTTAAACTAAAATAATTAAATACTCTATTGAACATGATTCTTTCTAGTATTTTTGAAAATATAGATAAGATAGAAATAGGCCGGTAATTACTTATATCAGATCTTTCACCATCTTTGAAAAGTGGAATGACTTTAGCAATTTTCAATTGATCAGGAAAGACTCCTTGTTCTATTGATGATTTAAAAAATTTAAAAATAATATATTTTATTTGTTCAAAAAAATCTAAAATTATGTTACCATTGATTTCATCCGGTCCAACTGGTTAATTTTTTTTTAGTGTTTTGAAGGCTTTTTCGAACTCATCAAATAATAACTCTTTAGATAACTCATCCGAGTGAATGCAATTATACATCGGTACTAAGAAATCTTTAAATGAGACTTCTTTATTAGGAATTAATTTAGATAGTTTAGGGCCAATTGTAACAAAAAATTTATTGAATTCATGAGCTATTGTTTCAGAATTAATTATATTGTTATTATCCACTTTGATCATGAGTGGCAGGGAACCTGAGCATGATTTGGATTTACCGGCAATTTCTTTTATTATTTCCCAAGAGCGTATACAACTATTTTTTGCTTTATTGAGAATTTAAGAATAGTAATAGTCAAAACTCGCTTAGAATGTTATCAATTAGAGTAGCTGATTTTGGAGTTACTCTGGTAGGGCGATTGTAATTATATTGTAAAAATATTTGAAAAACACAACATCTTTTAACATTATTAAAAATTAATAAAGTTAATTTATTTAACATTTATTTATTTATTACACCAAGTTTATTTACTACAACATGTATTTAACATTTGTTTTTAGTTAATATTTAATTACTTTAAAGCAAACGAGCAATTATTTTTTATCACATCCGCCGGCAGGAGGCAAATATTTCCGCTTCCAATTTGACGGCCGCAGCCAGTTAGGAGGCAGAAGCCATTGGAGGCGGCCTCTAAATGGCTTTGCCTCCATAATTTCTTCTGGAGGCGGCCAGCATTGGCTTCCGCCACTCTATTGGCGTCGGCTTCCAAAACATTTTGCCTCCAAAAATCTTTTTGCCTTCACTTTTGCTGCGGAAAAAGTGAAGGCAAAAAGATTTACGCCGTTCATCAACACTGCTTTTCTTTACATAAATAAGAACTCCTCCCCGCGTTTAACTCAAAGAAAGGAAGATTAAAATTTGAAGTAGTATTTAAATCATTTTCAGTTATCCAGCTTTCAGTTAAACAAATTATATTAAAAAATTTGTTGGTTTCAAATTAACGACTTCATTCCAGCGTTTTTTACGTTTTTCTATTGTTTCCTTTGCAAAGTCTTCGTTTACGAACACACCTGTTCCGCGTAGTTTTTTTGAGTTTTGTAGAACTATCTTTTTGTCGTTGAAATTTAAAAGTTTGATGATAATCGTTCGATCTTTACCTTGTTTTTATATGACCTGACCTGTGTGCTCTTTCGATTATAATGTCTTTGCTGATTTTAAGATTTTTGGAAAAACATCCTTAACTATTTTTTCACACTCATCCCATGTTTCGCCTTGAATTTCTTTGACACCATCAATTCTAAGAGTGTTTCGTCTAGAACGATTTTCTAGATCTATTAGTTTTTCATTTATTAAATTTATAGTTTTTGATTGTATTTCTGATTTCATATTTTTATTTTCATTAGAGATTCTTTTCTGATTGTCGATGCGATGATTTATTTCGTTTATTTTTTTCTTCACCATATCTTCTTGAAAGTTTATACTTTCCTTTAAGTCATCGATCTCTTTTTCCATTTTCTTAATATTTAGTGCGTTTTTCTGCATTTCATTTTCAATTTTATCGAATCTATCTGTTATTTATTTCATGTTGGCAGATGTTATTTTTGCCAAATTAATTTCTTATTCACGAAGAAGTCGTTCAGTCTCTTTTAAAATAAATACCTTATGATCTTCAAGCATTTTTTTCATTGACTTTTCAATATTTTTAATTGATACTTCCATAGTTAAGAGTATGACAAACCTTATTAATATATTCGAATAATAAGAATTTGAAACAAAAATAAAAGCGCTAGTTAAAAAAAAAAAGCATCTGCTCTCTTTGAAAGTTTTAGAAAAAAAAAAAATCAATTGCTACCAAAATATTAAATGCTACCAAATATTTTTGAAGACTTTTTCTTTATTATAGATCATAAATATCAAACAAAGCATTCGTTGCTTAATTATCAGGTACCAAAAACTTTGCTAAAACAATCGGAATTCTCATTAACTTACCGAGGGCCGCATTTGTTAAAGTTATTCCTTCCAAATAATAGTAAAACTACAACTTCAATTCAAACTTTTAAAAGTATCTTAAATAAACATTTATTCGATTATGACGTATCCCAAATACTATTTTATTTTTAATTTTTATTTTTTTCTCTTTTATTTTTTAACTTTTCTTTTTGTTAAAAAGCAACATCACACACATCATTACTTATCGTTAAATTTTATTTATTTTTTTATCTTAAGTTGTATTGTATTCGAAAAAAAAAAAAAAAAAATTAAACACTTTTTATTTAAAAGTATTTAATATTACTTCATTGAGATTGTAGATTTTTTTATATATATAATTATTTTTGGTTATATATCTAAATAATACAACGGGGCTGGATGATAAGACTTTTGTCTTCTGCCTACTCCCGTCACATCTTAACTCAAAAAAATATTGTAAATAATTTATTAAGAAGATGACGAAAAATATATGTATAAAAAAAAAAAATAAGACGCAGCGTTCTCAATTGTTTAACTTGCATGCCAATCCGACTAATAGTGGGGGGAATAAAAGTAAATATTTAGCGAAATAGTTCAAATTGTGATACCAGCTTGAAACTTTCAGGAAGTTGTCTATAAATTAAAAGAATTCAAAAAAAAAAAAGACCCCATTCTGAAAATATTTTTTTGGTCCTGGGGTGACCCCCAACTGAGTTGACTGTAAAACTATAAAATCTTCTGAACCGATTATATAAGGTTGCATTAAGCAGAATTTTAAGAAACAACAAACAACTACACCACATTACTAATTAAAATATGATTAAAAGCATAAAAAAAGTTTTATTTATATATTTCAGAGTAATGGAACTAATTTTTTTTTAAACTTGTTAACAAAAATGAGGTTTGTTAATTTTATTCAAAACACAGACCAGAACACTCGCATAGGTCTGTACAGGATAATCCTGAACGTTTGCACTTGCATTGCGTTCCGCAACTTTTCTTGCATCTACATTTTATTAACTCGATGCATGATTTTGGTGCCTCAGGTAGAGTCATCCACAAAGGTGTCATTGCGTTATTTGTTTTTTTCCAACCCCATTTAGTAGCTTCGGGTAAAATCTGCTGTGGCACCAAGGATTGTCCCCATATAATACTAAATAAATAATTATTTGTAAGTATCATTTTTAAATATTAGATTTAATAAGATTTTTTGAATAGAATAATAAGTCCTTTTAAATATTTAAAAAAATATGCACCTTCCTTGAAACACAGCTCTTTTTAAATGCTGAAAGAGTGCATCTTTTATAGGTGGTAACCCTTCACTCTGTTGTGAATTTTTAGTGAACAGTATTTTTCGGCATACAGTGAGGTCAGTAGTGGAACTTGTTTTATCATAAAGTAGAATAACGTAGCGCTCAAACTTTAGAAATGTATCAGGTGAAATAACTCTAGTGCTTGGAGATGACAAGCTAAAAAATAAAATAAAACCACATATTGGACTAAATTTGCACAAAAAAAGCAGCCTATAGGAAAATGATTTTAGAAGTTAGCAGCAGAAGCTAGCAAATCTAAAATTACTGCCTTTTTATACTATTTAAACATAGGTTAGCTAGGTTACCTACAAAATGCACTAATAATTTCTTCATCTCGATTGTTCCAGAGATTCCATGCAACTTTTTTTTCTCGTCCTGCAAATGATGACACGGTATCACAACCAGTGAATGCAAACCACAATGAAACAGCTTCTGCTTTTTCATCTATCTTTTGTGCGTAATAGTGTATTGGAAGCCATCATTTGAGTTTTCCAACTCCAAATTCTATCCAAAGTTGCTTGATACCCGTTAATTGTTTACAAACGGAAATTGAGATCGCAACAACATCTGTGTCAACTGTTTGAATACAAACAACTTTGTACCCACTGTCAACTGCATTTTTAACATGTAGCAAAATTCTAGTGTCAGCTTCCTCGTGGATACAAGGTGAGATTTTTTATTAAAATCTCTGAAATTGGTTGAAACAGTTTCATCTAACGTTGTTACTAAAAGTAAGTCAAATGTCTCTACTTGTACAAAGTTTATTGCAAGCATTTTAAACAACTCATTTTTATTTTCATCCAATCGTAAGAACTGTGACTAGTTTTTCCTGATGGGAGTTGAATCAGAAATACGTACTCTTACACCATTCCCACGACTTTCCCTAGTCTGGGTTTTTAAACTACATTCAAAATAACGGTCAAACACAATGTCAATCCTTTTTATTTCTTTATGTTTTGTTGATGTGGTATTATTTTCTCTCGAAACTCATTTTCAGAATACTCCTTGAATGTCTTTGATTTTACCGGATGAAATATATGAACAATAGCTCCTCCGTCTAACACCTTTGCAGTGATACCTTCAGGAGAAGTCAAAGTAGGGGCTGAATATTCTTCGAGGCATTTAAGGTACTCTGATTTATTAGTTTTTCGGTGTTTACCGTATTCAGATATTGCTGGTGGATAAGCATGATTTTCATGTCGAAAAAAATCATCTAAATCTCCATCTCTATGTTGAGATGCAACGTAAAGTGACGCAAACATTTTGCATTCTTCTTTCAGCATTACTGTTTTTAACCTTCCTTTTTGAGTGGCAAGGATGTTTTTTTCTCTAAACAGGCGTAAGTTATTTTTGGGTATTGTTTTATATATTGAATCCCTTCCAGTTGTTAACCTATTATGAATATAACATCTGGATGACTCAATACCCGTTTGCTTAGCTTTTTTGATGGATGTCCTAGCATCTGCGTCAAGTAATATTTTTGTTGATAAATGTATGAGAGTATCTTCTTCTACTAAAAATGGATTTCCAAAATCTTTTACAACTTCAATAAACTCTGATAAATGTTCATTATAATTCTTTTCAAAAACAGGTATATCTTTGTGATGACTCTTTTCATTATCTTTTTCTTCTTCTCCAAATCCATCTAGAAGTTCAGCAAGTAATGGTTCACACGCCATCCACTTTATCAACGCACTTGGGCTATCTAAAAAGTCAATTGAGCCGCCATCTCCCTTTATGATTTTGATGTTTTGTTCATGAGCCTGGTCAATAACCATAGATGAAAAAGGGCGCCTTGTCTTTTGAAATGTGAAAAAACCTTTGCAGAACTCAGTGTAAACCTCAGGGTGTTTATAAGGAAGCATCTTCATGTCAGCAAGAAAAATTGGAAGCCATCTAGCATAGTGCGTGTGATCTAAAGCAAACATCCAAGGAACAATTTGTTCCAAGGCACTGATAAACATATTAAAATTTCCCATTCTGAAACTCTTGACAAGCAACAGGACTATTGCTTGCAACTCCATAGCAGTAAAACAATAATTAAATTGGGTGTATGCTGTTCTTTGTTCATGGATCCACAAGTCAAAGGATGTTGTAGATACTTTCTAAAATGCTTTAGTTAATAGAGAATAAAAACCAGCTAATGAAACTTGTGCTGCATACCTTGAACGTTTTACTTTTCGACCAGTGAGCATAGATTCAGCTTGTCCAGAAGTTGTTATACCAGCTTTAGTTATTGCATCACATAAACCACTGCCTTCTAACCAATCTCCAACCAAAGATAAGGAGGCCATTTCTATGTGTAAACCTCCCATCATCATTAAAAGTTTATCTTCGCCAGACAGTTTCGGGTAGTGCCACTGAACTTGTTTACCTAATGCATAAACTGGTTGGTCAGCAGTTATTATAGGCACTTGAGTTGGGTTGATTTTTGCGAGAACTTTTATAACAATATTAAAAGTTTGTCTTACCATAGATGTTGAGTTGATCGATTCATTAATGATTGGCAACAAAATAGAAGTATTTTTTGTTTTCTGTTCATCTATGATTGTCTTTGAATTAAATGCTGTCCAAGAAATGTGCGTTGTTCCTTCCCCTTCTGATTTGTTTTGTAAAACTTTAACTACAGCTGTAAACCATTCTCTTGAATCACTAAAAGCATCAAAGTTCTTGAATTGATGGAAATTTGTTGTTTGTATAGGATACTCCATAGAATGGTCTTTAGTAGGCTCTATTGTTGTGTAATATGATGGTAACTCCAAAATAGCGTTATTCGCTTTTTCCGAAAAATCATAATCATACCTCTTTACAGGTAAGTCTATCTCAGCATGTTGAAATATGGAGATTGATGTTCCATGAAAAGATTTAGTAGCTGTACTAGAAGAAGGGTTGTGATCAATGTTATCAATTGCTGCAGTTGTAAAAACATTTTCAATGAGTGAAGGAGGACAAACCGTATTGTTATCATTGTAAAGCTTGCATAGTCGATTTAAAAGTGTGGTTTTAATGACATCAACTCTTGTTTGAGGTACACTAACTCCGAACTTTGCTAAATTATTTACAATTCCTTTCTTTCGTGTTTTGGAATGTATGTTTAAACCAACATATAATCGAAACGGTGGAATTGTACCTGCTTTATGACGGGTATGTTTTCCTTCTCGTTTGGCTTCGACATTTTTTTTCAAACAATTGTAAAACATGAGTTGAGAAACAGTTGCTACAACTTTGGTATGTGCTGAATTATTGTTAGCATCTTTTACCTTCTGTCCATATAACACCATTCTAACAAAGCTTTTTAATGTGTTTGGGGTAAGTTCACTTTCTAAACGATTTAAAATTGTTGAGACGTTATCAGCACTTAGCACTTTAAAAATTTGTTTTCGCAAAATAGTTGCTGCTTTTACTAAACCTTCTTCCTCATTCGTTAAATAACAAGCATCAGAAATAGCACTTCCCAGATCCGCTTTAAACGTCAGCAAAACCTCTCTATCTTTTTTAAATTCCTCTAACTCTGGTACAAGGTTTAGAACTTTTTCTTTTAGCCTATTTTTGTTTTCACAGTTGAAAATTTTATCATAACTTTTCATACGGTTGCAAAACAATTGATGTAGTTCTGATAATTGAAACACAGGAATAATTGCTTCATTTTCATAGCACTGATAGATATCTTCTATTATCTCTCCAAGAACAATTCCATAAACAATGTTGCTTTCGCTTTTCAATACTGGTTGGTCTTTCTGTAAAGAGCGTATTCTGTTATATAATTGGCTGAGACAAGCTTTATGATAATGAGCTTCAGTAGCTACAAGATCACCTTCACTTAGCTTTGCAAGTAACTTAGAATCTGATAAAATTTCAGCATACCTGCGAACCTTTTTATCTAGTTCAAGAGTCATCACTTGACTTAGATTTTTGTTACCCACCTTCTCACACAAGAAACAATTCTCTTGAAAGTTGTTGGCCTGAAACTTTGACTTTGAACCATGGTTTGGGATTGATCGCTCTTCTGTCACATCTAATATTTTTCTCCGTTTAGATGCTCTCTGGTAGTGATAGTTTTCAAAATTAGTGTAACATTTTTTGTGATATACTGTGTTGTTGTTGCAAAGCTCTTGCAGCAAATCTTCGCATTGCAGTCGGGAAGTTAAACCAACTGACAAACTACCTGCATAAGATAAATCTGAATTTTTAGCAAAAAATTACTTAACAGATTTTTGGAGATAAATACTTTTCACTCAAGATATAATATAAAAACAAATGATTTGTTTTAAAAAACATTGGATTAAGTTTAGTTAAAGAGTGAAAAAATAAAAATTTGCTTCAACACTTGAGAAAATATGAAAGCAGAAAATGATTTACATTTGATAAGACAGTATCAGCCTCTATCTGATAAATTTAACTCACTAATTTTCTGTCAAAAGCAAATGACAAAAAAAGATGTATTAAAAACAAACATATTGTTATATAATCAAAGCTATTTCTTTGAACTTCTCTAGGTTACTAAGTAATGTCTTATATCGAGTGTCTTTTTACTGTTTTTTTGATTTAGAAGGATTAATAATGTCGCTAATGGTTGATGATGGCTCTTGACATATAAAACATTTATTCCACTCTGTCGCATTATTTGTTGTTGTTGATAATTCATAACCTGTTGCATTTACAAGTTTGAAACTCTTCTGAGACATTACAATTTATTATTAACTTCTATAGGTTATTTTTGTTATTTGGTTTTATATAGATTTTAAAAAGGTTTTACTTTTTTTGCATTAATATAGTAAAATAACAGTAAAAACAACTGAAAATAGCAAGCTCTATCATAAAACTAGCTATTTTCAGTTTTTTTAATCAACATTATTAAGTTTATAATGTTGATAAAAGCTTAGAAATAGTTAAAAATTAACATAATAAAAAAATATATAAATAGGAAATTCATTGGTAAATTACATTAACTCAGGAAAAACTGAAAAAATAACTCGTGACTTATATATTCACGAATATTAACTTATCATGAAAGATACATATACCAACTTACGAACAAATCGTCGTTTATTTGTTTACATACTTTGTTTGCACTCACCTAAAAAAAAGTATTGAATTGTATTTGTTATAAAAATTTCCAGTATGACCACGTGCATTGTTTACGCTTTTATTTAAAGCTGATTTTACACTAAAATATAAAGTTTTTTAAGTCTATTTCATCAAAAAATGAAAGCTCAATAACTCAACGCCAAAGATATTTATAAATGAGGTCCTTTTAACTTGTATAGCTGTTGACAGCAATTTCGCCAAGTTTTATGCTGGTATCACAATTTGAACTATTTTTACCCTTATTTCCCCCACTATAATCATAAAAAACTGAAAAAATGAACAAATGAAATACAAACAAATGAAAAACTCAACAGCAAATGAAAACATGTGTGCAAAATAATATTTGGAGTTGACAAAACCAGTTTGTTGTAAACGAGTTTTATTTATTTTTGTTTATTTATTTATTCTTTTCATCACCCAAAATTACAGGTAAAAAATACAGAGGTCATAAAACTAATAGTTTATACTCTAAGTTAAAATTCTAATTTAGATTCTTCTTGGAATGCTTTCTTCCATTAAATTTTTGAATATCATTCTCTGCTCTCTGATGTTGCAGAACTCAAAGGACTGGTTTAAAATTTATGCTATATTATCTTCTACGTCATCGTTACGACGTTTGATAATGATTTTTTCCCCCTTAATCAAACACTGCATGAAGCTAAGTTCCAGACGGCTCCAAATTTTCA